CCTGATTGGGCCTGGCTCCACCCACTGACTGGCCATTGGCTCCTCCTGGACCGGAGGAAGTACATAAGAGCATCCTTTTCCAAGTGAGCCTTACTTAAGCAAGTCTTCCTGAGCTTTGCTGACTTAGACATTGCTGGTCTTGTACCCGATTCCTAGCTTATTCTTTGGTTCTGGCAGCTCTTCAGTTGTGACTCCCACCTTGACACTTCTTTAGTTTGCCCTTGGGTCCTGACTCCCAGCTCCTGGCTTGCTCACTCTAGACTGCTGTCCATGGCCCACCCCTGAGGGTTGTAAAATACAGTGGTACCTCTACTTACGAACACGATCCATTTCGGGGTGCCATTTGCACCCCCGAAATGTCCGTAAGTAGAGTATCGCTACCACGCGTGCGCAAAGCATGATAGAGTGCTTCTGTGCATGCGCAAAGCACGCAGATTGCTTCTGCGCGTGCAGTGGCGAACCCAGAAGTAAACACTTCTGGGTTTGCCACATTTGTAACCTGAAAAGCTGCAACGTTAAAAGGATATGCAATGAAATTCAACCAAGGGGATGCGAGGAAGTCACTTAACAGTGTTAATAAGTGTAATTTTTAATAAGGCTACGATTTATGTTTGTTTGTCTTATGTGTTTGTTTGTTTAGAATGTTGTGAAAACCAATAAAAAAATTTGGGGAAGAAAAAAAGAAAAGCTGCAATGTGAAGCAAATGTAACACAAGGTATGACTGTAAATGAAGCGTTTCTTCTGTAGATGATTAATCAAGATATTATTCGCTCTTATGAGATAAAGACAACCTCAGTGCTGATTGGCATCATTCCACCAGATACCAGTTGCTGTTAACAGAGGCAAGCTCTTGCTTGCCTCCATGCCCCCCTTCCAAGCTTCCAGGGGGAGGCATGTGAACAGCCACGCTGTAAGAAGCGAATTTCTGGATGCAAATGCCTCTTTGGTCTCATCCCACAAAGCACTTATCACATTTGGACTTCTGCAGATAACCAGCGTATTTTGTATGCATTTTGCTTATTTTGTGACATGTTCAGGAAAGCTTATACGCTCATTGCTGACCTCAGTGGAAAGTCCCTAGTAAGTTTATACTCCACCAGCGGAGTTTCCCAGAACACAGTTTCAAAACTACTGATATAGTGATTTTTTGAGATACATTTTAAATGCGTGTTCATAGGATCTGCCCTATTCTTCTGACATAAATTGTTTTAACTGATATTGATATTGTATTTTTACATTGTAATAACCCACCCTGAGACCTTATACAGTGGTACCTCGGGTTACAGACGCTTCAGGTTACAGACTCTGCTAACCCAGAAATAGTACCTTGGGTTAAGAACTTTGCTTCAGGATGAGAACAGAAATTGCATGGTGGCGGCACGGTGGCAGCAGGAGGCCCCATTAGCTAAAGTGGTACCTCAGGTTAAGAACAGTTTCAGGTTAAGAACGGACCTCCAGAACGAATTACATTCTTAACCTGAGGTACCACTGTACTGAAGAAGAAATATAATATTAGCAAGAAACATAATAAGAAATATGTGGGGTTCTGGTTGATCATGCTAGTCTGCACTCCATTCCCACAGTGGTTCAGCAGTTACTTTCTGTTCCCAGGGAACTACAGTGGTACCTCAGGTTAAGTACTTAATTCGTTCCCGAGGTCTGTTCTTAACCTGAAACTGTTCTTAACTTGAAGACCACTTTAGCTAATGGGGCCTCCTGCTGCCGCCGTTCTTTTTCACTGTTAAGTGACTTCCTCGCATCCCCTTGGTTGAATTTCATTGCATATCCTTTTAACGTTGCAGCTTTTCAGGTTACAAATGTGGCAAACCCAGAAGTGTTTACTTCTGGGTTCGCCACGCACGCGCAGAAGCAATCTGCGTGCTTTGCGCATGCACAGAAGCACTCTATCATGCTTTGCGCACGCGTGGTAGCGATACTCTACTTACGGACATTTCGGGGTGCAAATGGCACCCCGAAATGGATCGTGTTCGTAAGTAGAGGTACCACTGTACTTTACAACCCTCAGGGGTGGGCCATGGACAGCAGTCTAGAGTGAGCAAGCCAGGAGCTGGGAGTCAGGACCCAAGGGCAAACTAAAGAAGTGTCAAGGTGGGAGTCACAACTGAAGAGCTGCCAGAACCAAAGAATAAGCTAGGAATCGGGTACAAGACCAGCAATGTCTAAGTCAGCAAAGCTCAGGAAGACTTGCTTAAGTAAGGCTCACTTGGAAAAGGATGCTCTTATGTACTTCCTCCGGTCCAGGAGGAGCCAATGGCCAGTCAGTGGGTGGAGCCAGGCCCAATCAGGAAAGAATCTTCTCCAAGAAGCTGCAGTAATGATCCTCCACCACATGGGGCAGTGGTCAGCAAATCGTGACAATGGCAAGCCTTTATTGATGGTAAGTTGCTTTGAACCTCTTTGAGAAAAGAAAGGTAAAATTGAATCCAAATCAACCAATCATGGGACTGGAACATGGCATCTGAAACAAGCTTTTTAAAAGGAGTAATAACATTATGGTTGGACAGTGTTCTCGAAGCTACAAACATGAGTCTGACCAAACTGCGGGAGGCAGTGGAAGACAGGAGTGCCTGGCGTGCTCTGGTCCACGGGGTCACGAAGAGTCGGACATGACTAAACAACTAAACAACAACAATAACATTATAGCCTAGAGGTGGCAGTGCCAGGGTCTCTCCTATGCAAAGCCCATGAGGAGGAGAAGGAAAAGCTGTTTGCATTTGCTGAGATCTTGGCCTTCCAGTTCACTACAGTGGTACCTCGGGTTAAGTACTTAATTCGTTCCGGAGGTGTGTTCTTAACCTGAAACTGTTCTTAACCTGAAGCACCACTTTAGCTAATGGGGCCTCCTGCTGCCGCGCCGCTGGAGCACGATTTCTGTTCTCATCCTGAAGCAAAGTTCTTAACCTGAAGCACTATTTCTGGGTTAGCGGAGTCTGTAACCTGAAGCGTATGTAACCTGAAGCGTATGTAACCTGAGGTACCACTGTATAGGAATTGTAGTTCTGTCAGTAAAATAGGGACCTTAGAATAGCTTTGGAAGTGGATATAGGCCGTAGGGTTAGAAGTAGAAGATAGGGTATTTTAAAATAGTATTATTTGTAAGTGATAAAATGTGACGTTATTTTAAGTGTGATTAAAAAAAAAAAGATGGTTAGAAATTATGATATATGTAAATTGCTAAATATGAAGTAAATGAAAATCAGGTAGGTGGGACTTGGGGAAGGCCACTTAACAATGTTTAGAAAAATAAGGATATGACAAGAATTTGTTCGTATTGTTTGTCTTTTCTGTTTGTGTTTTTCATTTGTGTTATCAAATGAATAAAAAAATTGGGGGGGGGGAAAGAAATGAATCTACAGGGAAACAGGCAGAAGGCCTTTTCGGTAGTGGCACCTGCCCTTTGAGATGCCCTCCTATCCAATGTCAAGGAGATAAAAAATTATACAACCTTCCATGGACATCTTAAGGCAGCCCTGTATCAGTAAGTTTTTAACATCCAATGTTTCGCTGTGTTTTTTACATTCTGCTGGAAGCTGCCCAGAGTGGCTGGGGCGACCCAGTCAGATGGGCAGGGTATAAGTAATAAATTATTATAATATTATTATTACAACTGGTATCATGCTTCTTTAAACGTCGGGTGAGAATGTGGCCCTCCTCTCACTTCTTAATTTCCTTTGTTTTTAAACTGGACCAGGCAGTCCTTCAAACAGAGGGCACCTCGGAGCAGAAGACTGCCCTCTGTAAAGAACGGGCACATGCCCACCTTATCCTCAATGCACAGCCAATCTGACAACGTCATTCAGGAGCAAAATATTATTTCCCATTGGTTTGGCCGTTTCCTGCGCTGCTGTTAAAGGCCAGCTGAGGGGAGTTCAAGCAGGGTCAGCACAGCAGCTCACTTGCCCAATCAGAGCCCCCGCCTGCTATGGTGGGTCATCTGAGGTGAGCCCAGCTGGGATCCTAATCAGTATTGAACCAACTTCATTTCCGGTGGAAGCCCTAGCCACTCCCTCTCTGCCCAGCTACAGTACGAATGGGAATTTTCATTACAGTCCTCTTGGGGGGATTTGAGGACAAGCCCTTTGCTGGGGCTTTTAACTCTTTCCACTAACACATCGCGCCTGCTTTTAATGCCTCCTGAGCCATCGTTACATAAGCGAGGCAGAGGCTGAATTGGTTTTCGAAGGGTGTGTGTGACAGACATTGCTTTTAAGCATGTGCCAAGTGGAATTGGCATGTTTTTATCTAGTTTGTTGAATTCGGGGAATGCTGCCTTGTTCTGTTGTTGTTGTTGTTGTTGTTGTTGTTGTTGTTGTTGTTGTTGTCACCCGCCCCTCAACAGCATGCCCTGGAGAGAGTTGCAGCCATGTTAAAATTCAAAACCCAAAGCATTTAAAATATTACATTCGCAATAATAGGGTGGGCCCTGAAAACAGGCAAAGGAACCCACTTAAACCTGCCATGATTTCCAGGGACTACTCTGATTCAAGCCAGGTATGGCAGGTATTGGAGGAAGAAGATGACAAACAGTTGCTTTTGCTGCTGTTAGACTCACACTTCAACAGCAGGCCCCAGGGTGGGCTACAGTTTTGAAATACAATGTTAAAAGTAAGTTAAAACAGAGCACATCCGCAGGAATAGGTCGTGCCCTGAAAACACATGTCGTGCCCTGAAAACGCACGTCCTAGGTGTCGAACGCCAGGATAAAGAGGTGCATAGAGGAGGGAGAAAGGTTGTTTTCTGCTGCTCCAGAGAAGCGGACACGGAGCAATGGATCCAAACTACAAGAAAGAAGATTCCACCTAAACATTAGGAAGAACTTCCTGACAGTAAGAGCTGTTCGACAGTGGAATTTGCTGCCAAGGAGTGTGGTGGAGTCTCCTTCTTTGGAGGTCTTTAAGCAGAGGCTTGACAACCATATGTCAGGAGTGCTCTGATGGTGTTCCTGCTTGGCAGGGGGTTGGACTCGATGGCCCTTGTGGTCTCTTCCAACTCTATGATTCTATGATTCTATGATTCTATGATCTTCAGCATTCACCAAAAGTTTGTAGTCACAGAATCATAGAATTGTAGAGTTGGAAGGGACCCCGAGGGTCATCTAGTCCAACCCCCTGCAATGCAGGAATCTCAGCTAACCCATCCCTGACAGATGACCATCCAACATCTGCTTACAAACCTCCAAGGATGGAGAATCCACCACCTCCCGAGCGGGACTGTTCCACCATCAAACAGCTCTCACCGTCAGAAAGTTTTTCCTGATGTTTAGTCAGAATCTCCTTTCTTGTAACTTGAAGCCATGGGTTCAAATCCTAGTTTGTTCTCTCTTTCATATGACAGCCCTTGAGATATTTGAAGAGGGCTATCCTGTCTCTTTTCAGTCTCTTTTCCAGGCTAAACATTCCCAGCTCCTTCAACTGTTCCTAATAAGGCTTGGTTTCCAGACACACCTCTGTGGAGAGGGAATTCCACAACATAGGGGCTGCCTCAGAAAATGCCCTTTCCTGGACTGCCACTATCACCCCAAACTTCTGAGGGAACTACCAAGAGCACCCCCCCTCACCACTTCCCTAAAACCCTGGAGAGTCTGCAGGGAAGGAGAGAGGTGTCTTTCAAGTATTTGTGGCCTAAGTCGTTTCGGGCTTTAAGCACTAATGTGAGCAACTTGAACTGCTGTTTCCACATTTGCCAGGGAGCTGGTTCCATAGAAGGATGTTCAAGGACATGCATGGAAATCCTGTTGCTATTCTCATAAGACACTTAACCTTTCAGTGGAGCAGCTGAAAGGCTCCAGAGCACTTTACGCAACTAAAACCAAAGGGACCACCTCTCTCAGGCCCCCAAATCTTAGTTCTTGTTCTTAATTTTTTATTATTATTGATTGATAGATGTAGACTTTGGTCTCAACCCTCCAGGCAGGCTGTTCCAGGAAGGCTGCATCGATTAAAAAACCAAAAGCACAAAAATAAACCTTTGCGCTACTTTGCCAGCCTTGAAAGAAAAAAGAAAAACACTTATAGATGCAACCAAAGCTCTATTGCAAATTTTCTCAACTTCTGTAAACTGATGACATCACTCTCGTGGTTAACTGCACTTGGCCTTGGGAAGGAATGGGGAAGGCAACTAAATGCCCCCCCCTTGTTATCTGTTTGCACTGCCCTTTTATCATTGCATATCTACTCTGCCCTTTAGTCTGTGCCAACCTTCCTCAACCTGGTACATTCCAGATATTACTGGACTAAAACTCCCATCACCCCTGACCATTGCATGATGGGAACTGAAGTCCAAAACATCAGGATGGCCCAAGGCTGGTCTAAAGGAGATCGAAAATAGCACACAAGAGTTTATCAATTTTCACCTCCCAACAACCCTGTGAGGTTGGTCAGGCCGAGCATAGCTTGCCAACTAGCTCCACCAACTAAGCTGAGCCAGGATTGGAACCTCACAGCCCAAGTCCCACACTCGTTCTGCTAAACAGCTCAAGGCTCTTTCCCATGAATTTCTCCAATCTCCCTTTAGAACCATCTAATTTAGTTACCGTCAGCATATCCTGTGGCAGCGAACTATCTAGTGAAGTTAGTGATAAGCACCAACTTGGATGGTTTTAGAAAGAGGGTGAGACAAATTCATGGAGGATAAGGGCTGTCAATGGATGCTAGCCACACTGAATATGTTCTACCTTCTCTGTCAGAAGCAGTATGCTTCAAAATGCCAGTAGCTGTGAAATACAAGTGGGGAAATGTGATGTTTCACCGAGATCCTGCTTGCAGGTTTCTCAAGGACTTTAAGATCTGGAAAAGTATGTGCATTTGTTTCTCTTTCTCCCAAATAAGTACTATCTGTGATGGGCTGAGTACTACTATCACAGGAAGGAGAAAAAACATCTCTAGCTCTACCTGCTTCACCAAACTATGGAGAAACCACAGTCTTTCCCCCTCTCTCCTTGTGGTTTGTTCAGAAACTAAAAGGCCCGCTGGTGCATTTAGATAATTTTAGAATCGAGACTTTATGATCTTCCAGCAAGGAGCAGGGGCTCTGTTTTACTGCAAAATGTGGCAATCTGGTTCTGCAAGTCCTACCCTGATAGTACCACTGTAAAAGCCCCAAATGCTTTTTTCTAGGGAAGATTGAAAACATTCGGTGTTATTGGTCCCCCAAAACAGGATTCCTGTTTGTTTTCATACAGTGGTGCCTCGCAAGACGAAAATAATTCATTCCGCGAGTCTTTTCGTCTTGCGATGTTTTTCGTCTTGCGAAGCACGGTCCGTCGCAACTGCGCCTCTTCAAGCGGCTTTAAAAAAAAAGCGCAAGACGTTTTCGTCTTGCGAAGCAAGCCCATAGGGAAATTCATCTAGCGAAGCAACGCAAAACCGAAAAACCCTTTCGTCTAGCGAGTTTTTCGTCTTGCGAGGCATTCGTCTTGCGGGGCACCACTGTAATTGCATGGCAGGTTATTACGCTTGCCACCTGAAGAGGTTCGGGATAAGGAAGGCATTGTGTGAGATGGTAAGAAAACGACCTTTTGTCACTTTCCTTATTGCAGTCTGTGGGCTAGGCAAACAAACGTATAAAAGAGAGAAACAAGTTGTGTTCTTTATTAACTTGAAAAGGAACTGCATACGGAACAGGTGGTAAGCCAGCAGGCTGTAATCCAACGGATGCAGCTTTCTGCATCTCTGCTGCCTGGTTTATATGACAAAATAAGCCAAAACTATGGCTTAACAGGACCGCACAGATTGGTTGCCAGTTTGCTTTGAGGTTTCAACTGGGCACTTGCCAGCGACTAGCTAACCACTATAGCATGCCAGGTGAGCCTATGTGTCACATGGCGTTAGGTGTTGGCTGTGCAAGTGAGCTTGGGGCAAGTCGACCTGAAGACGAGGAAGCGCTGGAAGATTAATGAAGCTCATTGTTTCGCTTGGACACGTCTCAATTCTGTACACTGAGCGCCAGGAAAAGCCAGCTAATGCTGGCCATGAGAAAAATCTAATTAAGGTTTCAATGCCTCCTGCCTTTTGTCTATAGATTCGGCTGTAAGAATCTGGCCAAATTCGACCTGTAAGCGCATGTTGCAGATCCGTCCTCTGGATACACATTTAGCCTGCTGTTGAGGCCTGTCTAACCAAAAAGCTTGCACACCACTTTTAAATTGCTCTTGACCAAGCGAAGTATAAAAGATATAAGGGCTGGCGTTCAATAGCCGTCTCCCGACTCCACAACAGCACTGATCTCAGACAGTACTGATGCCTTTGCACAATGTGCGGGCATGAAAGAAATTTCTGTCACATCTCCATGCTGGGAAATGCTAGGTCTGTTGTGTTTCTGCCTGCGAAAGATCTCTAGATTCTAAACCGGGCATTGCCAGCAGGACGGCCTGCAAAAATCTTCAGTAGATATCGTGTCAGAAATCCACAAGGCATGAGAAAACGTTTGTTCTTCCTGCTCAGTTGCTCTTTGCACTGGCTAAGCATTGCACACCACTCAGCATGGGCATAGCCAGGATTTTTGTTAGTGGGGAGCATTTGTGTTGATTTTTATTGATTGGGGGGGCAGCTGCCCCTTCCTGCCCCCCCCCCCCCGGTTATGCCCATGCCTCAGGGTTGTTGTGAGGATAAAAATGGGAGAGGAAGACCACGGACGCCGCCTGGAATTCTTTGGAGGAAAAGGTAGCAGTCTATAGGGTTGCCATATACGTCCAGAATTTCCCAGACATAGCCAGGATTTGGCCATTGGAAACAGTGTCCGGGTGAAAATCGCTGAAATGTCCAGGAAAATACAGACGTATGCCAACCCATGTTGGAAGTGTAGGTTTTGGCGAATTTCCTTAAAAATAGCTGAACTTCATTTCTTTTTTGTATTGTATTTTAATATTTTGTTATTGTATTTTAATATTTTGTTATTGTATTTTAATATTTTGTTGGAAGCTACCCAGAGTGGCTGGGGAAACCCAGCCAGATGGGTGGAGTATAAAAAATTATTATTATTATTATTATTGATTTTGCAAAAAATAAATAAAAGCTCAACAGCTTTGGGCAAAACTAAAAAAACCAACCCTTTCCTGTCTGGATTTTCACTTTTTGAAATACGGCAGCCCTGCGTTTCATAGACCCTACATTATATAAATATAATAAATATATTGAACATGTGCATTTAAACATGCCCCATCTCAGGGTTGGACACTCATTCTGAACAGAGGAGAGGTGCAAAGAGCTTTTTTCTCTGTGAGCAAGTGCGGCAGCAGCTGATGTGGGTGCCATTTTTCCATTGATGGGAGGGGCAGATCACCGCCATTTTGTGTTTTCTGCTCTTTCAGATGTAGCAGCCGTTTTGTGTTTTGCCACACACACACCCAGCAGCCATTTTGTGACTGGAACCTACGTCACCTTCCAAAAATTTCAAGTGTGCCCACTGGCCCAAAGGATTGTTTAGGCCATCATCCAAAACGAAGTGAACAAACCTGCTTCTGTCCTCTCCTCCGTTCCTTGCTTGCTGTTAGCAACTTAGCATTTGCACCATCCAGAATCGAGCCACAAAATGACTCCTCAGTTTATCCTCTTTATTTTAAGACTGATGTTTCCTTTTTCTTTCTCAAGACAAAACAGAGCAACAAGCACCGAAAACGGCTCCAGATATTTTCTTTGTTCCCACCCTCACCAGTTTGTCTTGTCAAGACAGCCTAGTCATTTTCTGCTTCCAGCAAAGGAAAAAAAAATTATAGGTTTATTCACAGAAAAAATGCTGCTTCCACCGGTTACGACCCAAAACGCTTTCTAAAAGCCTCTGACTTACAAAAAACCAAAACTGGGCATAAATGGCACTGTTTGTTAGTTTGCTTCTTTGCTTCAATAAGCTTTTAAATCAAAATTCTCAAGACAGCTTTGAAAAAAACGTAGCTTAAAGACTGCAAGGAACCAGCTAACAACTGTATAAATAAAGCAGAATAAAAAGCAAACATCAGAAAGGCACCAAAATAGGACATTTTTGTTTATTCAGCCCAAACCAGTAAAATGTGTGAGTGAATAAAAAATAAAAAGATGTCTGTTACTTTTCAGGTTGTACACCAGAAAGGCAGCTCCATTGTGAAGTAAG